CTTTTTTTTTTTTCTTCTGCTACTCTCATTTTTATTTTTTCATATATTTTTTTCTTTTATTTTTATTGGCTTGGATCATATGATAACTAACTGTCATCTCCATCCAGCAAAAGCCCATGACCATGCTGTCCAAGAAATTTCCCTTGCAATCTGCAGCTCCGGAAGCCCATACACTCCAAGGAAGCAAATTCGAACCTACCTTCGATGGATAGTAGTTATGAATCTTTTAGAATTTTAATCCCACAGGTTCTACGGCTGGCTAGTCAAAAATCACAATTGGGACATATTTATCTATGGTTCCCCGTAAACACCATTTCAAGGTTATCAGATATTCTCTTTCACCAATTCCCAAATCGATTCTCAATGAGGTTCCCAATTGAATTCAATTTTCCGAACATTACAATCTAAATAAATAAGTGCAGCACTATTGTTCACTCAGAATAATAATAACATAAAACAAGAGAAGAAACTTACCAGGATCTATGCCATCAGTATTTGGAGCTTGATAAACGGGTGCAAGGATAGTTAAATTCTTCAGCCTCACATTCCTGCAGTCATACGGGTGAAGAGTCCAAAAAGGAGAATCGCGTAATGTTATGTTAGATATCACAATGTCAGTGGACCACATGATCTGCACAAGTGGTCCTCTAGTGTGGTTAAGAAGCTTCTGTTTATATTTTCTCCACCACGTCTGACCCTGGCCATTAATGGTGCCATTATGCCCTATTTCCAGGAATGAAAAGCACATATTCAGTACATTTTTTTATCCATAATAGCTTCTAGTAAGTTAATGGTATGAAAGGTTTTTTTATATAACTGAAAATTTAGTTTTTCGTACTGGATTTCCTTTCGCATGAAAGGTAATGTATAGAGCAGATATATTTAAACTCCAACTGAAAACATATTGAACAATTCACCGAATAGCATTAAGTGAAGAAGTCGAATTAGAGCTTAATTCCATTTTAGGTCAGCAATAAATGTTTCTCGTCATTTCACATGCTTAAGCAAATGGTGCGCTATATTGGCAAATCCCGTTGAATCATTTGGCATTTCTATCACAACTGGTGAAAACGCTGATGTGGTAGCATTATGAAATTTTTTATTTTATTCTCATTCTTTATTATTAATTAACTTACTAAATATCAAGAAAATAAAAAATAAAAAATTGGATAGTAGAGTGGCGAAGAAGCAACGAGATGGCGAACGGGTGCTCTAGAAACCAACATTGCTCTTCTTAGAGATCAAATAGGATGTTCTGGTATAGGAAGTAAGTCCAATAGCTCAGGCCGAAACCTTTTCCAACTCTAACTCCTCTATTGGAATCAGTCAAGCCGGGGCTTTACCACAGGTCTCTACTTCTATAGGAAGATGGTGCCTATGATAAGAATACTCCGAACCATCAAATAGACTTCAGTTGTGTAGATACTTATAGTCACTGAAGTTTTAATCTCCATGGGTTTGTTTAACAATCAACAGCTAGCGGTTTATTCCAACTATTTCGACTAGCAGACTGCTGTTTCGACCAGTGGATAACCTTAGTGGTTTTTACAATTGTTTGGTAAAATTGACTAATTTATAATAGTATTTAATGTTAAAGATTACTTACAAGGACATTATTATGCATACTTTAAGATTCATGTACTTTATGGTTTTTTTATTTCTTGCAACTACAGTTAATTATAAATTTAAAAGTTAGTTATTTAATATTAATAATAATAAAGATATATCAACACATATAACAATGTATATTTATCTCTTTTTTACTTCGAAAAGAAATTTATGTGTATATTTGAACTTTTTATCCTACAAGGGGAGGAAAAGGTCATAAAAATAGTAGGCAATTTTGTAACCCAATCTCATTTCTTCTTCTTCTTCTATTATTTATTTAAGGAAAAAATCCAGGTCGAAAGAAAGTGGGGAATAAAGGACTTTTTATCCTAAGAGTCGTGTTTGTTATTTTTGCGCTTTGGCCAAAATATAACTAAATAAAAAGGCTTAGTATCCTCTTGTAGGCGGATTCGCCAAGTCAAAGCTGCTAATGGCAAAAAACAGCCGATTTTTTTTTTTTCAAAACACCATTTAGGCATTTGCCAAACCAGCCCAAAGCATTTTTCTATATGCAAGAACAAAGCACAAAAAACCATGGATTAAAATGCTAACCTGTAATAACAACATCTTTGAGATGTTGGCCATGGATCAAACTTCCGTATCGTGGGCCAGGATGCTCTCTCCCATAGCCATAAGAAGGCAATGGAGGCATGAGAGGCCAATACTTCTCATCCTAACGAAAAAGGACAGCAATAACTTTAACTGTGACGATATCATAAGGGAAATATGGTTGATGACATTTTGCAACCTTAAGTAGTGTTTCTCAATGTGAAAAATATGATGTTCTCATAATTATCCAATGAGCACTACGTTGCACTACATTTTTCAAGGGTACTGCTTGGAATGGCTTCTATGATCTGGGGAGATTGAGTTGGGCCATTTGTTTCAAGCCAATTCACAAGACGACTGCATTGCAATTTTGTCTATTGATACACGTGTACAATGTAGCCTTCTCAAGTCAGAGGAAATTGACAACAGTAGAAGATGAAAGTGAAAAAGAAGTTGAACTAACGCTTCTTTGAAAGCATAAACAAATAACACATGTATGTCCCTATCTTGGTATGCAACAAAACTCTGTTCACAATTAATTGTCCATTAACAATAGCAGAATGCTGAATTATTTGTGCAAAATCTTTAAAGTTTCCATTTTATTGTGCAAAATCTTTAAAGTTTCCATTTTTCAGATACTAATCAAAATTTAATGAATATACAAGGCTCATTTTTTTATTTTTTTTTATGTAAGTCTTCAAACATAAACAAAACATAAGCTTCATACTGTTTTTATTTTTCCCATATAAAGTCACCTCAGAACCAAAATGCACACTTAGATATGCAAGACATACCTTTTAAAGTTAATAAAATGAAGAGATACAATCGAGAAATGTTATCGTTACACACGAATGGATATAAATCAATCAAAGTCTGCAGTTGTCTATGATTTTCGAGAAATGTTATCGTTACACACGAATGGATATAAATCAATCAAAGTCTGCAGTTGTCTATGATTTCTACGAAACTAACCAAATTATATTCCAAGTTTCAAATCTAACCCAAGTGAGGAATATTCATCCAAGCACAAAACAAAATTCAGATATTCAGCCACAATGAAATACAAGATAAAGAGAAAAAAATTGCAGCACATTAAAATGAGAAATCAAAGAAGTACTCACATCGATGCCGAGAATAACAGCACCCTCAGCGAGGAAGAGAGTCATGTGACTAGTCAGATTAAACGGCGCCGTAAGCCAATCTCCGGGTGGAACATTGAGCTGTCCGCCACCCTTTTTCCCCAGCTTGGAGATCGCCACCACAGCCCGCTCAAATGCCGCCGTATTAAGGGTGACACCATCGCCAACACCTCCAAAGTCCGTCAAGTTAAAAGCGACAGGCCTCAGCTTCGGGAACTGCCGGGACGAAAAATTCCGCCGGAAAATCAACAGCTCACCAGCGGTGGCTTCCTTCTGCCAATAAAATACAGTGAAGAAGAAGGCCAGGAAAATGGCAGTGAGGAGGGTGCTATGCGTTGAGAAGAAAGTGGCGGGGAAGGGGATCCAACGGCGGTGGTGGTGGTTGGCGGCGTACAGCGACGAGTACCATCTCCGCCAGCAGCACGAAGGGTTCGCTGTGGGCGTTGATGTCTCCACCATCTAATTGCGATCGAGTTTTGAGGAATTAGAAGTAGGGGGTGTTTGAGAATGGAATAGAGCAGCATATGAATGGTGAGAATCAAGAAAGCTCGGTCAAT